TTCTGAAGTACTCTGATAACTTCTATTCTTTGAAGAATAAATTGAATCCCTGTCTTTTTCCTAGAGGCCATAGGTATGTACTCTTTACCATGGTATTTTTATTACTGAGCTAACCTTTCCTTCCTCAGGTAAATCCAAGCTTGTATGATGTGTAGGTTCCCATAACTTTTTTGCAAATCTTTGGAGTCAGAAGTGTTTCCATATAGTGTTCTGTCTGCCTGCCTGCACCCCACCTTCCCATTTTAGAAAGGTGGCACAGGACACAGACCACATGTTTATATAATACTGATGGAGAAGTAAGAGGCAGTTCCCACAGAATCAAGCACATTAATTTTTCAGTGTTGAAATATGAATGCTCACTGTTAGCTAAATGAAACCAAATCTGTTCAGGTTAGATTTTACTTTAAATATGTTTTAAGAAGTATTAGATTTTAAGAGTTTTGGGTTTTAGGAATTAAAGTCTTATGTAATCTTTTTGAGCCTAATATTTTAAAAACCAAACTGTATTGCTAAAAAGGCCATTATAGTCATTGGTGTTTATTATACAAAATTCCTTGTATGAAATTTATTGTAAAATGTCATGTACAAATTCTTTCAAATACCACAATATGAGAGTAGTACTGTAAAGAGTCTGAAACAGTGTATAAGGGATTTCATGCTAATTTTCAGTTTCATTTTGTATCAAAATCAGGAAATAATTACTGTCCTAGAAGAGAATCATTTATTTGTAAAAGTTGTAACAGTCAGAGTAATACAGCATCTGTGTATTAGGTACTGTTTTGTAATTTATATGCATTATTTCATACAATCTCCAGAACAAATGCAGTGTAATAGGGTTTTTTTTTGGTCCTTTTCATTTTACAGATGAGGAAATTGAATCATAGAGGTGCAATAATTTGCCTAGCATCATACATTTAGTGGCATAACCAGTATTCTAATGCCGTTACCCTTACTCTAGAGCTTATAAAATCTTGGGAGTTGAAAGAGTTTTGGAAATCATCACAGAGTTGAGAATGAAACATTGAAAAGAAGATAAGTAGAAACTAGCTGTTCAAAAATGGCAGGGCAGTGATTCTTGAAGAAGAGAAAAAATGTCCCTGTGGCAGTCTTAATATAAAATTCTGGAATTACACTACTGGGGTTCAAATTTCAACTTTGCAACTTATAAGCAGTTTGACCTTAGGCAAGTTTATCATTTGTGAAATAAGAACAGCAATACCTGCCTTGACTGGAAAAGAAATGTGATAACACATTTAGAGAAATGAGAATAATGTCTGGCGCATAGTAAGCACTCAGCGAACAATAGGTGTTGCTGTTACTGTGGGTAGACACATAAGTCAAGTTGATTTTGGATAATTTGTTTGAATAACTGTGTCCAGTGTTAAAAGGTATGTGGAGTTAGAAAAAAACAAACACAAAGACTGATTTCTACTATCTCTGAGGTGTCTGCAAAATTGGGGCCAAAAGAATTTTGATTATTTAGTAAATAGGATTTACTATTTGAAATTCAGTGCTTCAATTCTTATATAAAGGACATAATAATACAATATATCTTTATATAGCAGAGAAAAAGCTTTATAGTAAAGTAACTGACAGAAAAGCATTATTTTGTGAAGAGCAAGTGAGTTAGCCTTAATTTATAATGCTAGGAATTACTGCCTAGGTTGAAAGGGAAGACAATAATATGGTTTTAATTACTCATCATTAAAATTTTTAAGTCAGATTTTCAGATTACATATTGCTTAGTATGTTTTGTTTTGAGGATCTGGTTCAATACTTTTTATGTATAATACTGGAAAAAATACATTTTGGCTTATCTCCTGAACCTTAATCAAATGTAGAAGCTTGTTTTTCTCTGTCTTATAAGAGAAAACAAACCAATGACAGCAGTTAGTCTAATTTCATGTGTGTACATAGCACTTTTTTAGTGTATTCAATTCCCTT